AAATGTGAGCATGCGTCATCTGTACCCATCATGGGACAAAAGTAACATAAAAAAAGTCCTTCAGAACAAATACTTTAAGTCCTCACTTGTTTGAGGCATGATCACCTCTTCATGTAGTTCAGCAATCTAAATTAGTGCACTAAATTAGTTTTTCCAATGCGTAACTTCTGATTTTGTGTTATATGCATTTACATGAAGATTCCATTAAATTTGCTACTAAGAATTCGAGGCTCTAATATCAAATCAGGTGCCTTTAATTCAGGGCTTTAATTCTATCCTAAGAAGTTGAAATAGAAGTAATGGAACATCAGTGGTTTCCTACTTGTGTATGCTTATGTGGAAATAAAAGGGTGTAAAACTGCTTAGAAGATAAAAAAAGGAAAGTGGAATTATCAGTAACTAGAGAATAAAGCAAGTTCAGTGAATCAACTCTTACTCTATGATGAAACTTGGAATATATGGAATTAAGCTTTTGGGAGCTTGGTTTCAGCTTCTGAAAATTAAGATTATACAGGAAGCCAAGAGACTTCCATTTTTTCATTCTTCATAATGTTGAGGTCACCGAGTAGTTTCCCATTTGGACTGTGTTAAGTGTGAATGCTGTTGACCAAAACTACAAGCTAGTAGTTAGTATTTAGTAAGTAAAACCATATAATTTTCTGATTAAAAATGCCTCAAGTTAAAAAAAGTCAAGGAACTGCATAGCCCCAAATACTGAAGAGTTAGTTCTTAGGTTAAATGTGAAGGTTTCTAAGAATTACACAAAAGCAAGGTACAAAGGAACTGTGATAATGTAAAAAAGCAGGTGAAAAATTAAGTAATTTTTCCCTTCAGATTTGAGGGCTTAAATTTGAACTTAGTTTACTGAACTGGAAGAGTAGAAAACTTTATGCATTTGACAATATTTTAAGACCTCTGGCAATCACTGAAATGAAGTCATAAGGCTATTTGAAGTCTGTTCCAAGCCTTTCAGCAGCTATTCAATACCTGCTGTATTCACTTTTAACACTGAAAAAGCATAAATATAATTATGTCAGAAAAACAAATTTAAAAATAAGGACCTGAACTGGAGAGGATGACTGCAAGCAAGCTTCTTTTATGCAAACACAGCAGAAATCAACCAATTTAAAAGGATGATCCATACAGACATGGATCAAGTCTTGTGGACTGATTGAGAAGAAAACACGTACATGATTTGGGACCTTCAATTCCTAAGTGGCTGAGGCACTTAGGAACAAAAGTTCTGCTGAAACAGCCCCTGCCCTCATCCTTCAAATCTTAACACCCATACAAAAACTCACAATTCTTGATATTAGTTATTTGGAGTGGTCATAAAATTTGTCTCCGTTACACAGCATAATTTGCCACACAGAACCAGATCTTTAGGATATCTGATGGTAAAATCTGGCAATTCAAAGATAAGGATATTTTGTATAAAAATGTAAATATCTCCCTTTTCACTGAATGTATATTTATCTCATTCTTGGATTTAATGCAGCTTGTGTGCATTTTTAAAGTTTAACCATTTTGAACCTGAATACGTATAGACGATGACCAAGCTCACCAAGAGCCAATTATTATGCTTGTATGGAAGCAACAGGTTAAAGAGGAGGGGAAATGAATAGTCACAACTGGATTGTCTGGTCAACTGACGTTCGTTTTTTTTTTTTACCTTTTCACATGACTATCTGAAATGCTATAGGGATGTTATGGTGTTTAAGAAAAAGTGGTGGTCAGCAATGCAGTCACTATATAGAATGGCCCATCCTACAGAAGTTGACAATTTGCACAAGGGGAAACCAAGTATTTTAGAATTCTCTAAGCTATACTTATTGCAAGAAAAATAAAACAAGCAGAAATCCACCCCCCAGAAATTTCTCTCCTCCCAACCAAATTTACGCCACACCCAAACCTTAACTGAAGTCCTTCCTGCAGCTGCTCAGTGCAGCATATAGGCGCTCTACAAGGACTGTGATGTTATAAACAAGCAATACTAAGGCATGTCATTTTGAGCCCACTGAATACATCTTAACCTGGTTATTTGTTATTCAGCACAGCATTTCTGAAGTGAATTTATTAAAAAAAATTGAAGTTTACCTTAGAGTTCAAGAGTTGCATCTGGATGTCTTACTTCTCATTTCCTGCGCACCAAGGAACTCTTCTCCCTTCTCTGCCTTTGAAACCCATTCTGAGAATCTTAATTCTCCAGTAGAGGGATTACATTTTCCATACTGCCAAGCATGCTACTATACTACATACATAACATCGCCCATTTCCAAAAGGGTATGGACTTTAAAAGTATTCAAATCATTGTTACTGCAAGACAAAATTTAGACCAGTTTTTATTCTAACAAAAGAAAATCTCTTAAAAATGTGTTAATTTTAAAAGCTCATTGCAAGTACTCAAGCAGTCAACTCCAAACTGAGTTACAATTACTAGACATCAGCTGTAAGAACAGCGTAATTTTCTGAAAACTTTCATAGAGACACTTTACAAGGTTATGTGGCTGGCACCTTCCTTCAACAAAATTACTACAATGGTACCACCACAAAGATTACAAAAATCAGCAAACCCAGGTCAGTTAAATCACAGTCAACAGTGCCATTGAGAAAGCAGAATCTGAACTACTGCTAAAAGAGGTTAGGCAAACCATATGTGAGCTTCTACTAGTGAAAAAGTGACCCTTTCAAATGTGCAGTAGGTATCTAAACAATGTACAGCTGGCCTATACCAACTATACATACTGTTAATGTAAAATATATTTAACAAGTTTAAAAATGGCTCAGCTATGCCGATTAATTGCCAGCATGCTCAACACCAAAGCTGTAACTGTATACTCTAAAGTGGTTGTTTTGCTGGTCTGCCTATGTCCATATGAAGAGTTAACGCATTGTAGAATTTCAAGATTATATATATATGTTTAAAAATGAAAGAACAGAATTGAGCTATTCAGTGAATGTTTCCTCACTTTAAATACCTCTTCACTATGCATGTAGGTATAAAACATGCATTAAGTATTTAGTGCTAAAGGAAATTCATCTACTAATAAAAGCAAGGGCATGAAAGCTTGAGATCACAACTCGGGCAACTGTAACTGACATGCCTAATTTTCACGCCCAAAACTTCAAAATTTCTCATTGCCATGAGTAAAAAGGAACAGCAAAGGGTACAGACAAATGAAAGCAATTACCACAAGTCACGTGGAAGCAATGAGACAATTTCATCTGTCCAGGTCATTGGTATTAATGGACAGAAACTGTTGTTAACTTTAGATGTGCTTCATTCATTCCTGAACACTAAGTTGCCTCCTCCTCTCTTGCTTAAAATGGTGTATTGTCATGGTCTGCCCACAATCCCAGTGTATGTACAAGAACAATTAGACACATACTTCACATACTTGTAAGAAACTCTGCTAACCTTACTTTGAAGATTGCTAGTGCCTTGTACATTAACGTCTAGTGATAAATTTCTTCTTGCAGTGAGTGAATGCAATGTTATGCTTTCAACTGGCCAAGCATTCAGAAGATTTTGATAAGTAGTTAGTTTTGGTCTTTGGCCTTTGCCCTTCTATAAAGAACTCGCCAGGTGGCTTGGGAGTATGAATTTAAATCTGACTTGCATTCTCTTTGAGACCACCCCCTTCACCCTAAAAGAATAGAAAAAGAACAAAAATAAAGCAGCGCATTTGATGCCTGTGCATCAACACAAATATAAAAGTCACTGTCTGATGTTGCAGGCACAGCAAATGCCAAGTTATCTGGCAACAACACTGAGACAGGTTTTCTGAAAGACAGAATGTGCTAGTGTTTAACTTTTAGAGCAATATAAAAATTTACATATTTACCACCAAGAGTAACTTGCAACCTGAATTATCATTCAAACCACTCGTTATTTAATGCAGCTCTCCTTACAAAATTAGTTGTACTAGCAAGAACTAAGTGACCACATTTATTAATGTCTACTAAATGGCAGCTGACAACCATCCCAACCGCTACTGAGCCTAAATTTTGTTACTAGATTTTTATTTATTTTTTTGTTATCCAATGGATTACTTTACCCTATACACCACCAACCTGGGTTGCGGAAACAACATGTTAAAGAAAACCACCACTCCAAGTGAAATTGCCTCATTTGGAAGAGCTATAAATTGCACACAACAGCCATAAACATATTTTGACATCTTACTGGCTCATGTTCCACATGCTGGCATTTATCAGATTATACACTTATCCATCATAATAAGGAAGATGGATGACATACATAGTTTCTAATGCCTTTAAAAGGATCTACAACAAGACACCAATAATGAACTTGTCTCTGCCAAAAAACACTATGCTTATATGCTATTGTGACAAACGCGTGTGTCCTAGTCTGTTTTTTCAATACTTTACTTGCCTTGAAATAGAAAACTATTTTAGGGAAAGACATTCTAATCTAGGCATGTCCTCCTAGCACTTAACAGACTGCCTCCCCCCTAGCATTTTCAAGGCATCACTTTTCTTCATTCAAGTAGTAGTGTCCAAGTATAAGGGACAATCGCACCCCAGAACTGTGTTTAGACAATTATTCTTGTTATATAAACAGAGCCTTAAATATATAATTTGTAAATGAGGCCTAAAGACACTGCAACTGTTTAGTAATCAGTTTGCTGCAAATTCACCTTAGTCTTCCTCATAGCAAAAAAATTCAGGATGGCTGTGAAATTTGTTTGGGGATCACCAATGTTCTATGAAGAGATATGGCACATTTCTTACTTTAATGCCCACAAATAACAAACACAAACAAAATAAAAACAAACTTGATAACAAACCCAAAATAAAAAACACATTTCACATCAGCCTTAAAAAAAAAAATCCCCCCCCCCCAAAACTT